TTGGAGGCTCTATGTAATTTCTACGAATTTCCTGGCTGAAAATCCTAAAAATACTGCCCGGACATGACGCAATGTGCGTTCGTTGTCGGATTTCGTTCATTTTTGGCGTGGGGTGCCCGGGCGGGGCCCCACACGCGCTGCCGAAAGTTGGGTGCATTCCGTGAAACCGCTCAGGTACTTGGTGTGAAAGGGGGTGGTCTCGGTATGGGCGGAGGGGACCCTCAGGCGCACGTCTCTCCTTCGCATCCATCAAATAGACCCATTTTTTCCCACATGCTACAGTGACCATGCAAGGCATGCTCGCAAAAATTTGTCGTGTTTGGAGGCTCTATGTAATTTCTCCGATTTTTCAGCAAATATTAATGAATTTATAAATTCTCAGATTCATAAATGTTAATGAATTTAAAAATATTCTCTGGTTTATAAATGTTAATAAATTTAAAAATATTTCAGAAAATGGTAATTAATTTAAAAATTCTCATATTCATAAATGTTAATGAATTTAAAAATATTTCAGAAAATATTAATGAATTAAAATATCTCTCCTTATTTTTTTATTTTTTGTTTTTTATTTGTTCTATTTTTATTTCAAACTTTTAATTTTTTTATCCACCCGGCCTTATTATATGAACATACTTTAACACAATTTGACCATTTGTAATACACTTTATAAAATTTTAGATACACATTTGACATTTTATTTCAGTTTTGTTTTATATTTTATATGTTTTCACGATTTTTCGTGCTACAATTTTTGGATACTTGCAGACCTTTCTTTCTGCTATGTATATTAGTTGGAAACTTTTCTAATATATTGTGAACATTTTTATGCATGGTTCAGAATTTTTTTTAAATACATACCGACTATTTTTTCAAAATAAACTTTGAATATTTTGCTAATTTTCTCAAGAAACTTTCAAGAGACATTGAACATTGAACATAAACGAGTTCATCCAAACCGAAACCATTTCATACATAGTTCATACTTAGAGATATTTTACATAGACCTAAACGAGTTCATCCAAACCTAAACAATTTCATACATAATTCATACTAAGAATGATTTTTTTAAACAACTACTCCTCGCCGTCGCTACCCGCGAGATCGATGACCTCCGCCGCGCCGTCACCGCCGTCGTTGTCGTCGCCGTCGCTGCTCCGGGCTAAGCGGTCCCAGTCGATGACGTCTTCCTCCGACGACTCCGCCGCCTCCGGCTACGCCTACGAGACCACCGGTGGAATCGCCGCCGCCGCCGCCTGGATCGCTGCCGCCTGCTCGGCGGCCTCCCTCGCAGCAGTCGCCGCCGCTGCAGCCACCGACGCCCATAGTGCGACGAGGTAGCCCGGCGTATCTTCGGGATCGCCGTCCTCCCGAAGAACGACCTGCTCCGGTGGCAGTTCCACCTCCGGCAGGGCGGGGGGATCAGCGGGCGCCGGCGCGACTGGTGGAGGGGCCCGACGGCCGCGCGCTGCTGGACGAGGGCGCGGGACAATAAGGCGGCGGCGGTCGCCGTTGAGGTCGGGCGTGACGCTGGACTCCGCCAGCCGGAACGCGCCGATGACAGCGGCGTAGTCCTTGCCGTCCCAAAACGCGTGCCGACCGGCGATGTTGCAGCGGCCGTCGGTCCGCTTCTCCTCCGCGGTGGTGCCAGGCCCGCGTGTCGGGTAGCCATCCTTGTCGAGCTTCAGTCGTGCGGAAGACGGCACAACCCGGCGGCACGAGGAGCCCAAACCGGTACAGCTCCTCTGTCTCCGGCGTGCTCAGGCTCGACGGCCACGCGCTCGGCCGTCGCCGCCGCCGGTGCCGGAGCTGCTGCCGCGGTGGAACGACATCTCGCCGACGGGCTTTTGAGAGGTGGATGTGACAACGAGTCGGGGGAAGAACTGGTGTGAGCGGCGACGGGCGGACGAGGGTGGTTTTTATAGGGCAGACGGCGGGGCAGCGGGCGGACGGGCAGTAATGGCGACGAGCGGGTGGGTGGATGGCATTGATGCCCATGGGATACGACGGGGCGGCAGGCAGCGGGGCAGCAGTCGAGGGGACGGACGGGACGGGGCGGCAGGGCCGCTATCCACGCGCCACGACGCGTTTTCCCCGGGCGATGCGTCGCGGATTGACCAACCGTCGCCGTTTGACCAGCGACGATGTTTGACCACCAACACGCGTACACGTACGTACGTCGCCCCATTGTAGAAAAATACACCGTCCGGCACGCGTACACGTACGTATGTTGCGCGAGTGTGAAAAAAAGCCGTCGCCTCGCGCGCGGGTACGTCGCGGGAGCGGGGCTGGGGAGGGTGATGGGGAATGACCATCCTACCCTTTTTTAAGTTTTTATAGATGAAGGGGTATAAGACGATCAACCGTTGATGTGTTTAAGGGGGTTGTACCGAAAAGGAAGTGTTATTGTAAACAGAAATAAGACAATATTGGCCGCATTGGACTTCAAGTATTCAACTCATGTTTTTATTAGCATAACATAGATATACACTAAAAAAAGGGTACAGTGGGCATCAAGTCATCGAACAATATCTTATTTATTTTAATAGACTGCTTTATATCTGCTCATAATGCACAGCCTAAATTTAGATTGATGGGCAATTCTTCTTACACTCATCTTGGGTATGAAAACACGGTACGTCCAACCGATTGAGGCAGCAGAAGCACGCTCCTTTCAAGCCCAAGAATTCATCTTTGGTCTTACAATCCCTAATAACACAAAATTTCACCGTAATTTTGTTATCATCTGATGATGAGACCACCATTGTCGCGCTGGCACGGCCATCTTCGTTGGTGCTCTCAGGCTCAGGCCGACCTATTACATAGGTAATATATGGATATCAGTCCACAATATGCAAATATGTAAATATATATATGATTGTGATGATATACTTACATTGTCCACCAATAAGAAGGCACCCGATGAACAAAACGGCAATAATGTACACCACGCTGCTCCTCTTCATTTTTTCCACGACCTGTGTACGAGAATATGAGATAGATGCAATCTGGGTCAATGGGCACGGCTCCCTCTCGTCTCGGTATATATAGAGGGTACAGGTCTAATTAATACCGTACGAGATATGCATTGATTGTCACATTCCATATATACAGCAGTAGGGAAACGCTATGCTATTTTTGTAGTCTCGCCTCACTTTGGTTAATCGTTGTTCACCGTTTTTTTTTTGTCCCACCAACATATTTAAACCAGATTTTAGCCCACAATCTATTTAAACCGATTTGATCTCGAGTCAGTACGTCCTTTCGTTGCTCCCCTCCCATCGATCGATAAAATCCCCGATCCACTCCCCCACTCCTGCTTCTGGTTTTTTCAGTACCGATTTTTTTAATGCTTTCCACGATCGCACAATTAATGGACGCCAATTATCTCAAGTTGCATGCCCTCCCACCGAATCGATCTCCTTCCTCGTTTATCTCTACTAGTACCTACATTCATGGAAGGAATCAATCACAATCGCCTGACGGTGATCAATCTCTATATCTAAAAATACAGGGTATAATTATTTTCCTTTTGCCCACGATGAACCCATCCAATACCCGGTCGTCTTGCTACGCAACCAGTTCATCGAGCAAACCGGAGAAACCCTATTCCCTTCCCCATTTCGTTTATTCACCTGTGGTGGCGTGCCGGCATGACAGGTCGAGCGGCGCCAAGCCATCATCGGCGATGTGTGCTCATGGTTGTTGGAAATATGAGCAAATTACTACGAGATTTAATCCGAATAAACAGAAGATAAATCATGACAACAACAGCAAATATTAAACTAATCATGCGAACTAGCATAGCAGATGAACATATCACATCTAGGGCACATACTAGAAACATAAATTCTACCACAATCTCAAACAGGAATGATAGAATCACATACGGTGCAGCGGGTGCAGCACCGCCGGCGTTGACGTTATCGTCCATATCATCGAGGATGAGGTTGCCGAGGTCGGGGAAGAAGTCGTCGTTCGCGAAGTCGTCGTTGCCAGCAGTCGCGCGAGTGCGCTCCCCAAAAACCTGATCGCCCCTCTCCCGTACAGGATCACGAGAGGTGGTGTTCTGGAGGCATGTTGTCCCTTCTCGCGGTGCACGCCGGAAGGAGGGATGGAGAAGACTTGCTTGGCGGCGCAATGATCTGGAACGATGGTGAGAAACCATACGAAGCGGCGGCGGCTAGGGTAGACGTCTGCCTGACTATATAGTGTGGGCCGGGTAGATCGTGGGAGTAAACCCCACGTCCGAGTCGTCACGATCCAAAAAATCAGAAACGGTTCAGTAATTAACGCGTCCATTAATTATTAATTAATAACTCATTAATTTTCCCATGCAGCAAAAATATAGACAACGTGCATAGCTCTGTCCTCGGCTCGGCTCAATCCCGCAACCCGCGACGCGGCGTGTCGTGACGAGGCGTGGCGTGGCGAGGCGAGCGAGGAGGAGGAGCGCGCGTGTAGGTCTCCTCTTCTCATGCTCATACAAGTGGTAGAAGAGCTCACCTTATAAAAAGGTGCAACTCTCTCTCAACTTACGAGGTGGGACTAAACTTTAGCCTCACTCACTCCAAGGTTGTCAGAATCGCGATTTTGAATCGGATCGGAGCTCCGATGGTAAGATCGTAAATCGTAGAATCTTCACTATTAGGATCGTAGAAACATAGATTCTATGAACTAAAATCGTAGAATCATAGGAGTTAGTTTGGATCGTAAAGTCGTAGAATCGTATAACAGAATCGCGATTCTGACAACCTTGACTCACTCCACTCACATGTGTGCATGAATGGGCCAAGAGAATTTCAGAATTTTAGTTGGGCTTTGGGCCAAAGGCTTACTAGCAAAATTCCAACAATCCCCCACAAAGTCTCATTGGCACATCTCATCATTTAGTTCCAAAACATTGTTTTATATATCGGTGCTTAGTGGAGACTGTGAAGTTAAACTTCCACTTAGAAATTTATGCTACACTGGATCACAACTTGAATAGTGGACTATGCCTTGAACTACAAGTTTTCTGTGAAACTAGTTTCACACAAATTCTTGACCGATACTGGGCTGCCGCAAGGCTTCCCCGCGGGTGGAGCGTATACGTCATACTCCAGGACCTTTCATGAATTTATTAGAGAACACCCAATTCTCACAGACTGTGATGTTAACAGTCAAATTCATATAGGTGTGTTCCTCAGAAGATGTTCTGCAGGACAACATCTCTGCTTACCCGAATAAGCCACTTGGAACACATTAAGATAAGTATCAACCTGCCATGCAGATCAGGAGAGTATTGCATCTTCATGGAGTGGGATAATTAATATAGGGACACTCTCCTCCCAGCTGACCAACAGCTTGTCTCCCACTTCTACTTCACGGGATCTCCGATCACATAGAGTGGGTTACCACTATGGACAACTCATGCGGTGGGTCTCAAACCCATCTTCATCGATGCATTATCTATCACATTACGTGATAGACCCTTTGTGAAGGGATCTGCCAACTTTTTCGACGTTTGGATATAATCCAACATAATAACTCCGGAGTTCCTCAATTTTCTGACAGATTTTAGTCTCCTCTTCACATGCCTTGAGGACTTCATATTGTCCTTAGAACTGTTTATCTTGACGATCATAGTTTGATTATCACAGTTCATCAAGATAGGGGGTATTGGTTTTTCAACCATAGGTAAGTCCATCAAGAGTTCACGAAGCCACTCTGCTTCAATAGTGGCAGTGTCTAATGCTGTGAGTTCTGCTTTCATAGTTAACCTCGTTAAGATGGTCTGCTTGCAAAACTTCCAGGAAACAGCGCCACCATCAAGTGTAAAAACATAACCACTTGTGGCCTTAATCTCATCAGCATCAGATATCCAGTTTGAGTCACTATAACCCTCCAGTACCCTTGGATACCCGGTGTAGTGAATCCCATAGCTCGCGGTGCCTTTCAAATAACGCATAACTCTCTCAAGCGCATGCCAATGATCATCTCCCGGTTTTGACACAAACCGACTCAGCTTGCTCACAACAAAAGAGATGTCAGGCCTCGTGGCACTCGCCAAATACATAAGCGAGCCAATAATCTGAGAATACCTCAGTTGATCTCTAGCAATCCGTCGATTCTTTCGAAACAACACACTAGCATCATATGGAGTTGGAGAAGGCGTGCAGTCGCTATACCCAAAACGACTCAAGACCTTTTCCACATAATGAGACTGAAGCAGTGTGATCCCACCATTCTCATCTCTCAACAGCGTGATGTTTAAGATAACATCAGCTACTCCTAGATCCTTCATCTCAAAACAGCGAGATAAGAAATCCTTAACCTCCTTGATTAAATCAAGTTTGGTTCCAAAGATCAATATGTTGTCGACATATAGACAAAGAATAACTCCTTCGCCCCCACCATAGCGATAGTACACGCACTTGTCACCATCGTTTACTACAAAGCCGGCAGTAGTTAATGTTCTTTCGAACTTCTCATGCCACTCCTTAGGATCTTGTTTAAGGCCATATAAAGACTTTAATAACTTGCACACCTTTCCTTCCTGACCAGGTACTACAAAACATTCCGGCCGATCCATGTAAATTTCCTCCTTCAACTCTCCATTGAGGAAAGCCGTCTTAACGTCCATTTGATGAACGAGAAGACCATGTGAGGCAGCCAGTGATAGTAGCACCCGAATTGTGGTCAGTCTAGCCACGGGTGAGTAAGTATCAAAGAAGTCTTCACCTTCTTTCTGGGTATAACCCTTGGCCACAAGCCGTGCCTTGTACTTTTCAATCGTACCATCAGGTCTAAGCTTCTTCTTGAACACCCACTTACATCCTATAGGTTTGCACCCATAAGGACGGTCAGTGATCTCCCAGGTACCGTTAGCTAAGATGGAATCCATCTCGCTACGTACAGCTTCCTTCCAGTAGTCAGCATCAGGAGATGCATAGGCTTCTGAAATAGTCCTGGGTGTGTCATCCACGAGCTACACAATGAAATCATCACCAAAAGACTTTGCAGTCCTCTGTCTCTTACTCCTCACAGGAGTTCCATTGTCACCCTCAACAGGATTCTCAACGTGTTCCATCGCAATGGTGGGTTCAGGAATTACAGTGAATTCCTCACTAGATGGAGTAGGTATCTCCTGATTTGATGAACTCGACATATCCTTCATAGGAAATATGTCCTCAAAAAAAGTTGCATCATTTGATTCCATAATCATACCAACATGCATGTCGGATACCTCATATTTTATTATCAAAAATCTATAGCTGATGCTATGAAAAGCATAGCCCAGAAGAACACAATCCACGGTTTTTGGTCCAAGCTTGCGCTTCTTGGGAATTGGTATATTGACTTTCGCCAAACAACCCCAAGTACGTAGGTAAGAGAGTTTCAACCTTTTCCTTTCCCATTCCTCAAATGGAGTCATGGTCTTATGCTTTGTGGGAACTCGGTTTACGACATGACACGCAGTCATTAGCGCCTCGCCCCACCATTCCTTGGATAGACCCGAAGTGTCTAACATGGTGTTAACCATATCAGTTAGAGTTCGGTTCTTTCTTTCGGCTACCCCATTTGACTGGGGTGAGTAGGGAGGCGTCCTCTCATGGATTATACCATGTTCTGCACAAAACAGATCAAATTCATTGGAAAAATACTCTCCACCACAATCGGACCTAAGCCGTTTAATTTTTTGATCAAGTTGGTTCTCTGCCTCATCTTTATAGTTTTTAAAGAAAGTCAAAGCCTCATCTTTTGATTTCAGAAGATACACATAACAATATCTAGTGGAGTCATCAATCAACGTCATGAAGTATCTCTTTCCACCTTTTGTCAACACGCCATTCATCTCACAAAGATCAGAATGTATAAGCTCTAGTGGCGCCAAGTCTCTTGCCTCTGCAGTCTTATGGGACTTGCGAGGTTGCTTAGCTTGCACACATACATGGCACTTGGAGCCTTTGACAGTAGAGATTTT